AAATAAATTTTGAATAAATTCTTCTTCATATGAATACAAAAATAGGTTTGCTAATAACGGGTAACGGGTAACAAAAACTAGTTTTTGCCTCCCTGCAGCCCCGTGGGATGAAGCTTAACTCACCATAAATTATGAAATCTTTAATTTTAATGGTGTATGTTGACTTACGTTTCTCATACAAATTGTTAATTAGGCCATCATTTTCACTGAATTACCTACGGATTTTTCTGTTTTAGCTCACCTGAGCTGAAAGTTCAAGTGAGCTTTTCTGATCACCCGGCGTCCGTCCGTCTGTCCAGCTGTCTGTATGTCCGTCCGTCTGTAAACTTTTACGTTTTAACTTCCTCTCAAGAATCACTTGGCTAATTTTAACCAAAATTAGCACAAAGCATCCTTGAAAGAAGGGGATTCTAATTTTTTCAAATAAAGGGCCAAGTCTGATTCCAAGGGGAGATAATTAAGAAAAGACAAAACTAGGGTGAGGTCTTTTCAAAGAACCACTTTACCTGAGGAAATGAATCTTCTCTTGAAGCTTCCTAAGGCAGTGTAGTTTTTTATTGTTCAAATCATGACCCCCGGAGTTAGGGTGGGGCAATAGGGATCAAAGTTTTACATTGAAATACATGCAAAAAAAATTCTTTAAAAATCTTCTCAAGAACCAATTGGCCAGAAGAAATGACACTAAAGTGGAAGCTTCCTTAGGTAGTGTAGATTCTAAATTGTTCAAATCATGCCCCCCCCCCCCCCCCCACCGGGACAAGGGTGGGGCCACCATAGGGGGTGAAAGTTCTACACTGAAATACCTAAGAAAAAGTCTTTAAAAATCTTCTCAAGAACCACGTACTAGTCCAGAAAAGATGAATCTTATACGGAAGCTTTCTGGATTCGTGTAGATTCTAAATTGTTCAGATCATAGTTTTACATTGAAAAACATAGGAAAAAGTCATTAAAAAATCTTCTCAAAAAACACTTGGCCAGAATAAATGAAACACGTCTGAAAGCTTCTTGGGATAGTCTAGATTCTAAATTGCTCAATTCATGGCCCCCCAGAATAGGGTGGGGCCACACAAGGGTCAAAGTTAAAAAAAAATACATGTTATACATAGGAAAAAATCTTTGAAAGTCTTGTCTCCAAAAAAAATATTATACCAGAAGAGATAAAGCTTATGTGGAATCTTCCTCAGGTAGTGTTATTTCTAAATTCTTCAAATCATGACTTCGGGGGTAAGGAGGAGCCACAATAGGGGATCAAAGTTTTACATTGAAATACATAACAATTTTTTTTTTTTAAATCTTCTTCTCAAGAACCACTGGGCCAGAAGATATGAAACTTTTGTGGAAGCTTCCTCGGGTACTGTAGATTCTAAATTATTAAAAATCATGCCCTCGGGAGTAAGGTGGGGCCACAATAGGGAATCAAAGTATAACAATACTTTAGAAAAGTTAAATTTTACATGGGAAAAAGAAATAAGTTTTGAAAATTCTCTCAAAAACAACAATCTCGCCACACATTCCCAAGTATATTATTTTTTCCCCCCAAATTATGCCCCAGGGGTTAGAGTGAGCTAAAACAGGTAACAAATTATACACTATACATGTATACGGGAAAAGAATTTTCTTAATAACTGCAAGACCAAGTTGATTATAATGATATTAAAGAATCCCCATGTTGTGTGGCTTCAGAGACCCTTAGCGTGGGGCTTTAATATGGGGTCAGAATTTTTCATTGGAATATTTTTTTTTGAAAACTAAGGAACAGCAGGGCTAAAGTTACTCAGGTGAGAGTTGTGGCCCATGGGCCTCCTGTTTTCATTTTCATTCCTATGTTGATTCGATATATCCCTTTGAACTCGAAATAAAAGACATCTCAGATTCTGGCACATCTGTTTCATATTTGGATATTTTACCAGAGAAAGACATTAGTAGCAAACAAACAACAAAACATGATAAACATGAAGATTTCAACTTTTCTATCGTCAACTTCCCTTATTTATGTAGCAATATACATTTAACACACATAGGGAGTTTTTGTCTCCCAATTGATTCAATACAGCTAAGAGCATGTTCTACGTACGAACAATTTCTACAACAAGGCAAGCTATTGACAAATAAATTGATGATACAATGATATCAACGGTCGTCTTGTTTAAAGTCAACATTTCGCAAATTATATGGTCTATACATTGAACTTGCTAGCAAATACAGTTTACTGTTAAGTCGAATGTTGACTGACGTTTTTCATACAATTTGTTTTCACACTGAATTGTCTATGGATTTTTCTGTTTGTTCGACCATTACAAGGAGCACATGGCGGGTGTGATAGGTCGACAGGGGATGCTTACTCCTCCATGGCACCTGAACCCACCTCTGATGTTTTTAGAAGTCCGTGTTTGCTCTGCTACCGATTTGTATTGTTCCAATGGACTTCAGAGCTTTGAAATTGTTATCATTTTCTTTATATTTCATGTATTAATTCATTTGACAAAATTTAAAATAACGTCTAATTGCCATAAAAAAGAGCCATAGATTGTAATTAAACTTGGAGAAAACGATCGACAATGGAACTATCTTCATTGTTTGTTTACACCGGAAATATTTATTTACCACATTGTACCATGCATGATGGCGCCAAATACTCGTTTTTCGGAATTCATTCCGTTTTGAGAGTTCCTCTAGACTGATTGTAAAGATTCTTACTGATTTTCTGACACTGCAAAGAACTACGCACGCTAATTCTCGATTCCCGCCTACATTTTACACCCATTTAATTCAATACTAATGGCAATTTGGCCGTAAAATCTTTGTTGAATGCAAAGAACAGTTCAATGGTAATTGATTGATAATTTTATTCAAGTGTTAAGTAGCTAATTACCCCTGATTCCAGCCCTTTAAATAAGGGGGGTAGACGATATTTTTCATTGAAATCTGGATTTAAAGTATCACCACATTTTAAAATATTCTTGGGTATGAAGAAATCTTCTTTAAATCTTTTCTTATGTTTTACTCAAAATTAAACACATATCATTGATAAAATACAATGTTTTTGTTGTAAACCTCTTTGAAATTGGTGAAAAAATAAGCATTTTTGTAGTTTTTTGTCTGTAAACATATGCCCCCCCCCCCCCCCCCCGTGAAACACAAAAAGCTTTGGTATGAATATGTGAAATGACAGTCTATATTACCTGTAAAAAGGAAATTTTTTTTCACGGGGGGGGGGGGGGAAGGATGTTTTAAAAATATTTTCCGTTGATTTCTATAGTGAAAAACATAAGTTTTACCAAAATTTTAGAGTTATCTCTTTGTTTTCCCTAAGAAGTAATGTTTTATGAAAATTCACATAAATATCTATATAAATATGAAAAATCATTCAAATGAGTTAACTTTTGAAAATTGACTTGGAGGTAGGCGGGAGAACAATACTATCATTCGCAGTTCTTCATATTGTTGGCAATCTTTGAGCTGCCAATCTACAAATGATATACATAATTTCAAAAGCAGGACAATACTTGAGAATTTAACTTCCCACTATACCAGTCGACAGCAAATGTCCAAGGACAACTCGTCATTTATATAGCTATATACGATTGTTCATACAAAATTCCTTATACCTAAACATATTGCACATGTAAGAATCGAATTTGCAAACAGCCGATTCCCATGCAAGAGAAAAACCCAGTTTCATTCCAATTTTCCTGTACACTGTATATCCAACGGTCTCACTCAAGACATTGCGAACTATACTTCTAAAGGTTTGTTGTCTTTTGAGGGAAATGCATCTTAAAATAAGCCAGTCGGGTTCTGGACTTTGGAAGGTCTTTTGGTTGTTTGACTGGTTCATTTTGCAAGATTTTTGCATTAATTCATAAAGTTGAACATGAAAATTTTCTAATAATGTTATAAGTGATGACTGTTTCTAGCAACAATCTGCAGTGTAAATATTTCTGTTATCTTGAGCAAGCAAATTGTTTGTCGCTTTGATTTCTGCATAGATATCATGTGCTTAAAAATATTTTAACTGTTAAAATGCCATCCTTTATTATAAAATACACCCTGTGAAAATAATTTGTCATGGGAAACGGCGTTCTTTTAGTGTATAAGGAGTACCCGCCGTTTGACAAATTGGTCGCCATGTCATGCCGATTCTCAGACCAAGGTTTTGCTTCTCACTTGATAGTGAGAACACTAATTTTCACTTGTCCAAGAGTTAAAAAAGGTTTCATTCTCATTCAGTGCTATCGATACAATTGAGTGGTTAAACTGTTGCACAGGATGTAGAATAAATAAAATTCAATCGTGTCTGTTGCGTTCCGGAATAATCGATAGAAAAACCGATTGTTGCTATGTTTGTAGGGATGTTGGGGTGCTTTGTAACATTACAGGAGCCAGAAAAATGCATCCATTGTGTACATGTGGCAAAATTTATGTGACAGACATGCAGTCTAATAGACAGAAAATCGGTATCTGCATGCTTCATTCTGTACAACTCCAGGATTATGGTATTTGGTATGCAGTGATTGCTTTAACGCTATTTGATTACAGGACAAAATTCACAGAAAGTACTCGTGACAGTCAATTTTGACAGGAAAAAAATTCAATGACAGAAGGCTAAACTTGAGAGAAAAGACACTTCATTTGCTATAAATTTAACAGTTTGAATTATATATATCAACAATGTTGGCGATATTGAGTTTATGTAAATGCAGGTAACATTTTGAAGAGTGTAGTTCTTCTGCCTACTAGTGTGAACAATGCGAATTGCTGAGCAATGTATGAAGAACCCCTGTCTATAAGAGGTAAACAGTTCACTCGTTTAGATAAGAACCATATACACGTAACAAAAGAGAGCACACTAGCAATATTTGGACTGATAGAGTCCAGGTAATAGACTCAAACAGCTATCGCATCGTCATTTCAACATCTCTAGTAATTAATACACAGTAAGAGCGGCGTTTAAGAGTACGCGGTGCTTATCTTTAAGTCCTTGTCCGACGGCGAAATTGAGAGATTTAGAGTCTATAGCCAAACATGTGGTCCAAATTTCAAGAAGATTGGTGTAATAGGTAATCAATTATTCCGCCTAATTGAAATGCAATGACAGTTAAAATCTTGAGAAGATTCGACAGTTATTAAATTGATTTCATGAGTTGGGAATGTACATACGATCTAATTTTGGAATGTCTTAATTGCTTTTTGAGAAGTTAACTCGACAGAAAAAGAAGTTATCATGACAATTTCATAAAGGAGATAGTCGAGACACTGCTGTAGATCTGATATGTGTATCGATTTAAATTATTAACGCCACAATTCTTTATTGGATGGATGCAACTTGAGGCCCAGAATCGTCGACCAAAGCAGTTTATAAAAACAGGAGTACGTTAATATGACTAATTAAGACTCAATTAATATCATTTCACAACTCGGCGCTCTAGCGGAAAGTAGTCTATCGTGTTTCTAAAGGATGTCATACTTTTATTTTGCCCTTGAACACAAATACAATAAATCAATTCTCGACCGTGAAAAGAGGTAATTTTTTGATCCGCCTCTTTGTGTATTTTTTTCTAATTTATATCAGTATCAGTGATGTAATGGATACCCATACTATACTAGAGTTTACGAAGCGGTGTTTCTTTGCGGTGTGACTTTTTCGTGATCTGAATTATGGAAAGGTGATGTAGAAGATGATTCTGGTCTGGTTCCTTTTTACGTTTGTGACGAGTATTTCTACGGATGACTTACCTAACACGGGGTAGGTTGTACTAAAGTACATTTTAAACTGACTGCTTTGCATTTTCTGCCTTTTATCTGGATTATTGGTATAGCTTTGGCCTATTCAATTATATTGCACATGGTACCATAGCAATTATATATGCAGTGTCCACTTTTCCTTTATGTTCACTCTAAATTTTGCTAAAATACCAATAAAGACAAAATATTGTTCAGCTAGTTTCTTTCTTCCATATATATTTTTCTGCAGGATGCACACATATACATGTAGCTGTCAGTGAGTAAACTGCATGAAATTCAAATAAATTCAACTAATTTTTAAACTTTGGACTCTATAAATTCTATATAAAACAATTATGTAATAAATATTTTCTAGTCCTTTCAAATTTTACTACCGGTACTTAATTTTAAGTGTCTTGTATCGATATAATCTTGTTCACGATTTTGAAGTACAATTGCCAGTAATAGATACATAGTTATATATATCATATAGCCTTGGCTAGGGGAATTTTCAAGAGGGAAGCAAGCGCCCTTTATTTATTTAGGCGCCCACATTATTTGTAACAAAAATATTTTTTCCGTTCACTCTCAAAGGTAATTAAATGACACGCGCTTTTAAAACTTGTGATTTTGGCATATTTATTGGGATACAACCTTAAGACACTTTGATACAGTGTTATACACCAAATGAAAAAAAAATTGAAAGTTGTGCAAGAAAAGAGTTCATTTCGAACTAAACTCTGAAACGGTTTAAAAAAAAAGAAGAAATATTCATTTTGAATAAACAGATTATCAAGAGCCACGCATTTTGTTTTTGCTTGTTTATTTGTTTGTTTGTTTGTTTTTTAAATTGAATTCGGATACCTAAACATTTGAATCCAGAGAAGGTACATGTACAGATATTAACGCAATTGGAGAATTGATATGAGCTTTAATTCACATAAAACGCGGAACACTAGGATGCAATAGACTTAGCTTGAACGCTTCAATTCATGGATCTACAAGTTATCACAATTATTGAACTTAAAGTTAAGTTTCGACATGCGCTAAGTAAGAAAATCACACATTAATGCCAATCTTTAAGAAATTTATTCTTATACCTTCTGTAAATGAAGTACATGTATACAAAAAGAAATTGAGGAAATAAAATTTGCACGATCTTCTAATATGTGTAGTTGTATTGTATCTCTTGATGAATTATATATATATATATATATATATATATATATATATATATATATATATATATATATATATATATATATATATATATATATATATATATATATATATAATCAGTGCAATCAACAACACTACTTGTACATAGCTAATCAATATCTGTATCTAAAAATAGTTCTTGATCTATGCATAAGGGGGAACTAGGTTATCAACTGTGTTATTTTAATAACAAATCTGCTCTGAAATTTCACGAAGCTATTTGTAAAAAGCTACAAAACAAATGATGAGACATTTATTTTACAGATTTTAAATTATAAGTCGTGATATCACTCTGCCCACTAGGTCCCTAGCACGGCAGATTTACCGCTGCACTAGCCCAGGTTTAACATATTTTTGTCGGACTTCACACTAATAAGTTTTGACCCCCTATTTCTACCATTCGGTGTTTTGCATCTTCACACGTTTTCGTGTAAAATTGTTTTACCTTAGGCTTTCTCTAGCTTATTTATAAAAAAATTGAAATATTTCGTTAGAAAAAAATCACTCTGCATGTTTTGTCTTCAAAGACATTGTTGGGTGTTGTAAAGATGCAGTGAGATCTTTTGAGGTTACATTTTTTCCCAGCGCAATTGATATTCCGTTCAAGTGAATCACGGGCCTTTACTGTACAAATACAAAATATAATTGTTTGATAAGCCTTTGAAAAATTATATTGTATTTATTCAGACAAGAGCAAACGGTTCAGACCGATTTAAATTTCGAGGTGTGAGGCAAGTAAAGCGATGGGTTATTTACTTAAGAAAGACAACACACTCTAACAATATTTCCCCTTCAAGTGTTAATTTTCTTGCCATAATTCAAGCGTTCTTTTAAAATTGACTTATCATTCACATATCTGTGTCATCTCGGCGTTTGGTAAACATTTGTTTTCTGCCTTGTGGGTATAAGTGGTCATCTTTTGAACTGATGGTTTGAAATATGGCACAGGGACCCCTTTCTACTTCACGGGCGATCAGAGATCCTCCACGACGATCAGTATTGATCTTAAACAACTGCGATAGAAAAACCAATTATCTCACGATTTTTCAAAGAAAATTTCTGATTTACGAGTTCTTTAAGCAATTTATAAGCTTGTTGACTTTGTTGAATTTCGATGAAGGAATGTTTCAAATGTCGATAAGAATAATATCAAATAATAAGTAAAGGACCAGGTATATATGTACATGTACACAGAAACTATACGTCTCGTCTTTGAAACACTCAAATGTCTAGGAATTAACTTGGAAACGATTTCTTATTTTGTATTGCCTTCAAAATGTTAACATTCAATTTTATTACAAATTGAACTTAATCTATATGGTTACAAATTGTAACTTTATCATTTTTGTGTAGGTTTTATCTTTGAAATCATAGAAGCCAGTTAAGTTTGACTTTTATGATGAATTATACAATCCCCATCTTACTTATTTCTACCAGATAGGCTTTGGGAAACTGTGATGAATCGATATGAACTCTTATGCATCCGTATTTTTGTTCCAATTTTGATACACTTCTTTGCATGTCTTGTAACTTTCGAAAAAGCATCTGCATGTATGGACAGAAAGGTGGTGGTTTTTTTTTTTTTTTTACGTTTTATGTGAATTGTGTCAAGTTGCTTATAAATGTATGAAAAACACACTTTTAGTACCAGAATTGTTTGAGGAGTTTTGTACCAATATTTATACCCAGTATAAGAAATTAATATCTTCATTTGACAGTTAAAAAATTAAGAAGTGTGTTGTTTTGAAAATTGTGCTTATACAAACATCAACCATCACAGGAATCTATTTTTTATCCATTCAATGCTTCACTTTCTTTGTGAATATCTATCTATTAAGAGACTAAAAGATTTTAAAAAGTAAACGTTCGAGGAGTTTTGCTTTTCATCTCCAATTTAACAGCTTAATACCCTTTTGATGCATTTAATTTCCTATGCAAACACACAACAAAATGAAACACGCATATTAATCTTGTAGGTTTACGCTTCCTCGATGCGAGTTCGTTAATTACTTGGTTTAAGAATGACAGTCTATAGCCAAATGTTTACGAGGCCAGAATTTCTCTCTTTAAGGATAGCTATGTTACTCCGCAAACCAAAAAGCAACGACTAACCAAAGGTCACATGCTCCGCGGGGTCCGCCTTTTTGGATCTTCGCAGCGTTTGGCAACATAGCTCTTCAGCTACACATTTGAAGCATTCCACGCTATGATAAATGTATTGTATTGATTTTTTTTCCCTTAAGAACCTTGTTTTAAGATGGGGTACTAAAAACTTTCTTGTCTTCTAGGCGACAACGAAAAATGTCATCCTTTCCATAGCCTGATAAGGTTTTTAGAAGCCACTTCAAGTTACCGATAGGCTAAGCATCTTTACGACCAGTAACCAAATATATTATGCTGATAACTCCGAAGACAAGAGTTATGGACCAATAGGATAGATAAATATATAAACAAAGAAACAATGATAAGAATTTTAATTTCCGAAATACTTTCCCCAAGACTCTTTAACGAATCCTTATTATATGAATGGTGAATTTACACAGACGATAGGTTGGTTATTTATGAATTCGGGTTCAATGAAGATTAGAGTAACAAAAAAGTTTGTACGGGAAATGCATTGTTCAAAACGAAATTTCTTTATATTGCAAAGAGGTGAAAAATTGACAAATTACTAGAATATAGGTAGGACAAAGTAATTTTGTCCAAGTTTTTACTATTAATTTATTTACATCACATAAGTAAACTTCAGTATCAAATATGTCTAAGCTAGGATATACTGTTCATCTCCTATAGTATCATACATCCATTGACATCATATGATAAATACACACAATTTACATTAAACATCCTTTCTTGTAAAATTGCTGTAGATCTATAGTTCATTAAGTTCGACTTCAGAATTTACCACTTTGCTAGTAAATTTATGTAAATGGTGTCTTGAAATTTTTAAATTCACATCTAGATTTTTCCATTCATGTCTTCACTCTAAACCACAAAAATAAGTAATTGTAATGAAAACGCCTCTTCAAGAATAAAATTGATCTAAACAGACCGAGGTGTCCAAGTATCCGTTCTGTTTTCCTATCTCTTTCACAATAACGCCATATTCTATTAGATGAGACAGATAAATCATAATAGTTTTGACACTGCAGATATTCAACGATCCCAGATACCTCTTTATTCGATTAGGCATGTCCCCCATCATCTTATGGTACAGGCCCCCTGGTGAAAGTGATATATTGTCACCAAACCTATGTGTAATTCATTAAGTATGATTGAAATGCACTCGATTGGTACCCCCATAAAACAAGCCTATTTTTCATATCTTTCATTAAAATTTTTATCACTGATTGAAACTCTTACTCATTGTGTAAAACTCCTGAAAGGTTAAGGTGTGTGTTAAAATCTTGCCTGATCATACTTGTGATGAAGATCGAGTACTGCCTTGTCAATTTCACGGTAGTGCCTAGGAGCGTTAATAATTACTGCAAAAAGAAAGTACAATAAAGGTTGAAAGTGAAAGTAGCATTCCTTTTTTACGCACATTTCCCAGAGATTTACTGGAGAGATTTGAAAAACATTTGGTCCACATACCATAATAATTAAGAACTATTAATAATAACAATTGCAAAATAGTGATGTGCACCTTAAAAATAAATAATTCTGCATTTTCTTCGATATAATACCCCAGTATTTTACTTGAAATTCTTTAAATTTATTTTGTATAAGAATAAACCGTCTCAGACATTTTGGCCTACAAACTCTTTTATATAATTGTTCAATTTCCGTGCTAAAATACTGAAA